TACTCAGGAGGCTGAGGCAGGAGAATTGCCTGAACCCGGGAGGCGGAGGTTGCGGTGAGCCGAGATCGTGCCATTGCACTCCAGCCTGGGTAACATTAGCTGCGCGTGGTGGCCAGCGCCTGTAATCCCAGCTACTCAGGAGGCTGAGGCAGCAGAGTCACTTGAACCTGGGAGGCGGAGGTTGCCCTGAGCCGGGAGCGTGCCATTGCACTCCCGCCTGGCGACAGAGTGAAACTCCTTCTCAAAAAAAAAAAAGAAAAAAAAAAAATTCTTTCTGGGCATATCTCTTATTCAAACAGCTTTTAAAAATAGTCTATTATTACTTGTTTCTTTTATTATGATTTTTACGCCTATTTTAATGCCATACAATTTCACTGCTGTATGCTTTAGTGTAAACTATGTCAAATCCTTTTGCCGGTAGGTGGAGTTTAAATTCTAAATAAAATGAGAAGCGATCTATAAAAGCGAAGAACCTGAGGACTTGAGTGGTGGTGGAGATTTTCCAGAATTATTAGTGTAGAAAATTAATTTCGATATTTTAGTGTATATGATTGTAAATAATGCCTTTTACTCAAAATAATACTATATTGAATTCAGGGGAGGGAATCTGATTTTACTTTCAACATCTGCTAGTAAATAAAAAACATTTCACAACCTTACAAAGTAATAGTGCTAGCCTGGGCCTGATAATTGCATATGTTATCACTGAAGATGATATTGTATTAAGTACTGAATTGAACTGTTTATGAACAGTGAGATTTTTATTTTGAGCTGAACCTAAATCTGATTTTAAAGAAATCACTGTCGCGCTTTTGTGTCCTCCGGGTTTTGATTTCCACTATGCGTCCTTCAAGGGCATCTCCCAGAAGGGGGCTGGGCTCATTAACTCGGCGACGCTGCAAAGCGTTTGTTCTTGTCTTCACGGCCCTTCCGCGGTCTCCCAAGGAGACAAGTGGAATGCCCACCAAGTCATGCTTTTCCATTACTCATTCCGCCTTCTCTCCCGAGGTGGCGCGTGGGAGGTGTTGCGCTCGGGTTCGGTAAGAATAGGCCCGGCAGCTTCCCGCGGGATGCGCTCATCCCTTCGCGGGGTTCCGCTCCTACCGCGCCGCGTTCGGCCGGTTCCGCCCGCGAGATGTTTTCCAGACGGACAATGACTCCACTCGCGACGCCTCCCATGTTGATCCCAGCTCCTCCGCGAGCATCTGGACCCCTAGGCCCCGCCTCGCTCTACTCAGTCAATCTTTTGTCCCCGGACGAGGAGGATTATCGGGGTGGGCTGGGCACGGCTGATGCCGACGAACGCCCTTGGGGGTCACCCGGGAGGGAACTCCGGCTCCGGCTTTGGCCAACCCTGCCCCCCAACACCGCGCCGGCACCGGGGCCACCAGGGGACGCTCGCATTCCCGCACCGCGCCGGCCCCCGGGGCCACCAGGGGGCGCTCGGGCGTCCCTGCAGCCCCCGGCAGCCCCCGGCAGCCGCCCCGCTCCCCGGCTCCCCCTGCAATTGGCCCGCGTCTCCGAGCTCTGCTCTGTGATTGGCTGCAGTCCCCGTCCGTCGCGGGCGCCGGGGCGGGCCAAGGTGACGCGCAGAGGCCCAGCTCGGGGCGGTGTCTCGCGCCGGCGAGTGCGGGCGGAGCTTCGCGAGGACCGACGCGGGGCAGTCTGACGGCAGCCCTCCTGGGAGGTGCCCGCGCGCGTCGGAGCCGCTCCCAGTCCTCCGCAGCAGTCACCGCCGGCCGTCGCCGCGCCCCGGCCTCCAGCCCTCGCGCTCTCCCGCCCGCCGCTCACCTCCCGCCTCGATGCGGAGCCGGGCTGCTGCGTGATGGGGCTGCGGAGCGGCGCCCTGCGGCTCGCGGCGGCCGCTGCTCGCGCTGAGGTGCGAAGGTGCCCGGCCCCACGCGCCCCCGCGCGCCGCGGCTCCTGTTGACCGGGTCTGCCCGTCGGTCCGCACCGCGGCTGAGGTAAGGCGGCCAGGCTGGCGGGGGTTGGCGCCGCGGCCGCCGGACCGGGGAGGGGGCAGCTCCCGCGGTGGGGAGCGGCCGGGCGGGGTCTGACGGGAGGAAGCGCGGGGCGGGGGGCCGGGTGCGGGAGCCTCGCCCTCGGGGGTGGAAACCCCTCCCTCGGCCAGCTGCGAGTCCCGGGCTGGCGTCCAGCGGCCGGCTGGGGCCCCCGCAGTGCCCCGCACCGGCCCTCCGTTTCCCCCGCGCTGCCAGGCCCCGGCTGTGCCCAGCGCCCTCCAGACCCGCCGCTGTGTGGCGGTTTCCTGAGCTCCGCGCACGTTGCAGCATGGGGGAACGGCCCCGCTCCGTTTGAAGCCATCGTTTTTTTTTTTTTTCCCTTCTCCCTTTTCCCCCTTTATGATGGGCATCGGGCTTCGGCTGGGAATGTGGGTGGTTATGCCTTTTTGCCAGGTGGAGTTAGGAAAGGTCATCGCTTGGCACTGGGGGAGCCGAGGGCTCGAGGCCTGGAAAGAGGGGTGCGATGGGAAGGGAGGGGGCTTATTGGATGCTGGCCAGGTGTGAGGAAGGCTGGTGTGGCCTCGGCGTTCAGCACCGGGATTACTCGGGCAGCCATATTGGGAGGATGATCTGACAAATCCTTTAGGAGCCAAGTCCAGTTGCTGGAAGGCACCAAGTGACAGCCCTGGCAGCTTTCAGGGTGACTGGCCAGACCAGAAGCCAAGTTGTGGGGGTTGGGAGGCTGCTTGAGCAAGCTAGTCATTGTTCAGGCAACACAAAACGTTCCCGGCCCTAACGCCAGGATGGAGCTTCCAGATCACTTTTTTTTCCCTTGATTGCTAAATGAGCTTCCAAGGTAAACCGCCGTCAAGATTCCATTCTTGTTGGGGTGAAATTGCCTGTTTTGTATTCATCTTCTGCGTCCAGTGCGGGGGCTGTGGAATGCCCGCTGATGCTTTACAGGTGCGAAGGGCAATCTGAGGATTGCTAAGGCCCCTGTATCAGTATGGAGGCCTCTAGTAGCCATAGAGCATTGGATGGATAGATTTTCAGAGTTGCTCAACTTGCAGAGAAGAAGTAAACCAGAGTACTCTGATAGTGGGTGAGGCTTGCGGCGGCATTTCTGAGGACGCAGGCTGTCATCTTTGTGGAATCTCTAGGCAGCTGAAATTAGATTGTCAACAGATCCCTTGCTCATATCTCTTACTGCTCTGGGCAGCTGTTCAGCCACCACTGAACATTCCGCTTTGTGTCGTGATGTGCCTGTCTGAGCCTGATGGAAGTGTGCTGATGAGATTTGGATAACTCTTCAGAGGTGATATCATGGTGGTTATTTTATTTGAAGGCTGGCATTTTGTCTCCTCAGTTTAGTCAAACCAAATCTAGTTCTTGTCTTCCTCTAAGAAGTGAGGTGGTGCTTTCTGATTACGTTGGCATGGTTGTTGGATTATGGAGCAAGTGGAGTTGTGAATGTACCGTTTGAGGATGGAAGGTGAGAATTGCACTTAGATTGGTGTAAAGCAGGTCTGGAGATGATCAGTAACTGGGTTCAGCATGAGTCTGTAGATCTGTCCTTTCCTACATCCTAGATGTAGGATGTGGAGAGATGGCATGCCTGCTTTCTTCTTTATGACCTTTGCTTTCATTCAAATTCAATTTCTTAATAAATAAATTCTCATAACTTTTTTTTTTTCCTTTGCAGTGGCCTGTGGAAAATTCTCATAACTTCTTAAATTGAACTATTTAAAAAATTTTGGGCTGGGTGCGGTGGCTCATGCCTTGTAATCCCAACACTTTGGGAGGCTGAGGCAGGAGGATCCTTTGAGCTCAGGAGTTCGAGACCACCCTGGGCAACACAGTGGGGCTCTTTCTCTACAAAAATAAATAAATAGCTGGGCATGGTGGCCCATGCCTGCTGTAGTCCCAGCTGTTTGGGAGGCTGAGGTGGCAGGTTTGCTTGTGGCCAGCCTGGGCAACAGCAAGACTCTGGCTCAGACAAAAACAAACAAACCAACCATAAAAAGAAAACCAA